GGCAAGCACTTCAAATGCCTATCAAGCTACAGTTATAATTAAAACAAAATTAAACCACTGCAATATTATTTCGAATACAGTTTAGAATATACACAACTATAAATTAAGGCCGCATTTAGGTTCGCTTTATTAAGGGTAAACTATTTTTACGCCCCCAAGCGACATATTTTGTATATACGTTTGTTTTTATCTAACAAAGTGAATGGATTTTTGTTACAAACTACATATTGCGATTTGTCTTATTTCCTTGTTCGCTATTTGCGTGACTTTTGATGAGAAAAAAAAAACAGATTTGCGAAATGCAGCTTAAATCAGAATTTTAAATTAAAAAAAATATTAAATTGTGGTTCTTTGTGTGAACCATAAATAATAAAAATGGTACTGAGTAATGCCGGGTTTTGAATGGCTCTATCGTTGGTCCCATAAATGTGTGCGTACATGGTCAACAGTGAATGAATCGTGATGAGGTTTTCTAATTCTTGGCAAATGCTCACATTTTAAATCAGTGGTATGCTATTCGTAGTTAAAATAGTTTTTGGTCTCGGTCTCTATGATGTTATTCTCGCAAAAGTTTGCACATTGTGTAAATATCATTGCAGTGCCAAGAGTTTATATTTGTCCCCCCCCCCAAAAAAAAGCAAGCCGAACACGAATATATATATAGTATAGACGAATAAAATATACCACCAAATATCACTTGTGTCACTTGTCAGTTGCAAATTTAAAATTAATGTATAACATTCCACATAATATGCTGCCTATTTAATTACGTTTGGAAGCCATCTGAAATAAGTCTACTCGATGTAGCAACAATAAAGCAATGCATCATTTATTTGGAGAAGAAAAAATTCGAATCAGGTATTGTCAAATATTTGTTAACATGATGATGAGAAAGTGAGTCAATTCTGACAAAATTGCAATCCGATTTATTATGCATCGAAGCCAGAATACTCGCCGTCGTGGTTGTGATTTTCGTCGCCTCGCAAAGCAGGGTAGAACACACACAACACGATGCTATCTTCGTGCGCGGTCAGTACGTGCTTGTCGTGTTTGTCCATGTTGTAGATGGTACCTGAGTCTGGCCCGATTCGAGTTTTCACAATAGAAGCCCCCTCATCCCAAGAATACGTAGTACTGCCTTTAATGTAGTAAGCTGACTCTTCGTGGTTCATATAACCTAGTTTGGTAGAATTTCCAGCAGAACACAGGGTGTTGTTGAAACTAACGGCAAATCCATCCGCTTTCACCAAGAAACGCCTACTATGACCTCTTTTCCAGTCGACGTCTTTCTCTGTACCAATTATTTCTTTAAGTGAGTTTGCAACTGCGCGTTCGCTCGACGGGTTGATGTCTTCGCTGTAAATAACGTAGAGTCGGAGTCGTGACTCCACAGAAAGCTCGGCTTCAATGCCGGAAGAGAAAGCAATAAATGTATCGGGCTGCAATATGTATGTTTTACCATTTGACGCCTTAACAATACCGGAACCGGATATGCAGTAGTACATGTGGTCTAAACCTCCGCTGTCGGATGATCGCAGTTTTAAAACATCACCAGTTTCTACGGATACGTCATACGCTATGTGACCCATGATGTCATCCCTAGCTACTAGAAGTTTTCCTTTCAAATCGGAGTTGGGAAGGGTTGTTATGGTAACATCTTCAGAGTGTCGGACAATCATGGCGATCGTGTGAGTCTACAGAAATTAAAAAAATAATAAATCCAATTAGTTTGTTCAGTTGTGCCACACCATATCTTTTTTGTGACCAGGTACATCCTGATAAAGTTTTGAAAGACATGTTACTAGTATGTTTTCACATTGATGTAGCTTTGCAAAAAAAAACCGGTTGCAGCAGCACATAAATATGCGTCGCTAACGGTTTGCATTCATTTCATTCATTACAACAGCATCCGAGCATATCTCGCTACACATCCCTCCATCGTCATGTCATACTAGTATGAATCAATATATGGTTTCTTAAATTCACCACCGAGGGCGTGATTTCAGTTCGTGCCGAGCGTTCAGGCGGCAGCGAATCTCGACACGTGCCGACTCGACCCGAGTCTCAACACGTGCCGAGACCTGTGACGTGAACGCCACTTGATACTGATGTTCGCCAAGAAAACATTATTATTGATGAAGGCCATTAACAAATATAGTTTTATTTTGTGTTTTTTAGCACCTTTGAAGGGTAGATTTGCATACAAAAAACAGTCCTAATAACTTTTTTTTATTTAAATTTTTGTAATACTATTGTATTGAATACTAACCCTCTTATCAATTATGGAATGTCCGGTTTGCTTGATTTGTTTCTCGTACTATTTTTTAAAAAATCTTCGAAAGTCTTACATGAGAGCACCGCCCCCAACACCAGAGTTGAGGAACGATGATGAAAGCAATGGTTTTGGATGTCAGATGTTTCAAAACGATGGATAATAGACTATTTTAATTTTTACCGTTTCGTACGTGACCTCACAGTATGTGTATATCCATTCACACCACTTGAACAAGCGCTTTTTTCGACTGTTATTAACAGATGATAAGATTGTGTTCATTTGAGCCCTCAAATACGACCATTTTGTTACCGACCTTGAAAATTACATTGGAACCTTTTTTTCGGATTATATAATCATAATGATCGAAGAACAGAACTAGGATACGCATCGGTTATTCACGTACTTGAAACAAGTGACATTTTATCCTGGTAGTAACCTGTGCAATTAATCGATGAATATTGTGTCCGTTTACCGTGGTTGAAAACAACTTTGAACAGTTCGAGTTGAGACGGATCTCCGCATACGTACCCGGGCATCGTACTAAACAGTCAAGTCACATAAAACAAACCGCATACACGCATATCAACTGGAAGGGTGTGAGATTTTGAACTTACGTGTGGTTTCTTCCTGTGCTGTCGTTATGTCAATGAGTCCAATCCCGTACAACATACTGTTTGACCCGAACCGATATACCCAAGGACGAATGGTTTGTCAATCACAGATAATAGTATGCAGCTTATACCCGGCAAGTAGTTTGTAAACACATCAATAATTCATTGGGGTCAAAGAAACGTTGCGTTTTGCAATAACTAGGTAGTTGTTAGATTTAAAACTGAAATCTCGCACGTTTGCATTGCACAATATTCTTTGAGATTTATTTATGATGGTGTACGCTCCAAAGTACTAGGCTGTACATCGCTTCGAAAATACCTACGAAAAGTCGTCGATGTACGTACTTCTGGTCGCGGTGTTTTTGTATGTGCGTCAACGGATGGCGAGAAGTCTCTCATTTCTGTTAGAACTACACAGTTTATGGGATTTCAACGAAGATCCAATGGCCATAGTATCTCCACCGGTGGCTCTTATGAAAGAGCAACTACAGAAAATGACAGAACGCGGACTGAAAGTTGTTTAGTACATCGACGTCGACGACGTGAAAGCCGGAAATTATATATTCAGCAACCCTGGATATGTAAATTATGCCAATTGACATGATTAAAGTGGTATTAATATCAATGGAAAAGGAATCCGACTTTCGCAATAACCGGCTTTCGCCATTTATACACTCACATAATATTTTATTTTATTGAACTAGTAGCTTCGCGATGTGAGTGGTTTTCATAGTGAGCAGATTTAGCAGTGAGTGGGGGTCTATGGCAGTAACTGGTTCATTCGTCGAAGTTGAGATTTAACCATCCTCGGGGTTGTTAATTTGTTCTTATGATGTGTGCAGTTGCTCTGACAGGAGTTCCTAAATAAGACCCACGCTCTGATATTGCACCTAGTTACTTTCTTTAACAATTTATAGAATGGGCTTTGCATCATGTATTCTTGTTTTACTGTGACATACATACTTGGTGTTGCAGAAGAAGTGTTGAATATTTTTCATTGAAATTAATAACCCCCAGAATAATTTTCCAATATAGATACGAAATCATAGTATGAAAAAATGTATAACTCATTCTCAGCAATGAGACAAAGATATGTATAATGTACTGCAATATAACAAATTGATGTATATTAGATAAGAAAATGTGATTTTTTTGATTAATTCAGAAATATGGCAAGGTATTCCGGTTTGTTTGGAATTGTTCACAGCTGTAATAGCTGTGCCCCTTTAGCGAAAATTAATATATACAAATAAGTCTTGCTATGATTAGAATTCCTTGCCATATCCTAAATAAGTCAGTTAAATTGTCAATAATTATTTGTATACAATGTAAAGATGTTGCAAAGAATTTGTAATAGGAATTCTGTTCTAAACTCTTCACGGTGGCTAAATTATGAGTTGGATAATTATGAAAGTATCAACATATACACATTTAGATTTATATCAAGTTTGTGATGAAGATATTTGTTTTCAATCCCTGGTGAATGAGTGGTCTGAATTAGGTGAAATGTAATTACAGGTAAAACGAAGTAAAAATGTAAATCCATGTTAATAATGTAATAGATGTTATAAGTTATAAATATATATTAATACTACATGTATTATAACTAGCTATCTCATACATTGCTTGGTTAACTGCACAAAAATACCAGCAATGGAGTATACAGTAGTGTGTAATCCTGTCCGAGAAAACTGTATCCATATTTCAACAGGTGGGTTGAAAAGTTAAGGTGGAATGGACGACAAATTTATAAAGATATACATGTTGATTTTTTTTTCAAATTACAAATTACGCATGGGATACTTGGAAGTTAATTGTAGTAAGAATGTTGCCGTAGTTTAATGCATGATATGGTTGTTTAACACTATTGATACTCACCTGCACCAACAATAAAAAGAGTGTGCATAAAAAACAATACGAGTTATGAATCACGTACAAATGGCGGACACAGTCATGGGCGACATTGTTGTACAAAACAACGCCCTCATAAGTATGAGGGAAGGGATTGTGGAAAAAGTGTGACGTCGACTCCCCTGAAATGAAAGCTCAAATACAGAGAGTTTAGAAGTTTTCCATTCTCTATTGACCAAATATTGTCCTAGGCGATTATATTGACCCATAAAGGTATTGTTAATTATATTTTTTTATTTAAAATATCTGCATTGTCGTCTTTTCAGTAATAAAAATCTGCGCAATATTTGCGTGGTGAAGATTTCTGATATACATGGTGAAAACTTTCATTTCGATATTTCTTCTACTACCGCCCTCATAGGTATGTTCGCGAGAATGCAGCTCGGTGCGCTAGATCACAACGCTCACTGCGGAAGACAGCAGGCGTCCGTCAAATCTGGTGAAAATGAAGGCAAACTAAGACACAACATAGAATTTCTCAACAGTAAAAGGCATTGGGAGGCTAAACCAATCAATGAAAAGAAAGAATTTCAACACATTTCTGGGATGATACTAGCAGAGAGAGAAAGTGGAATTACTGGCGATGATTTCGACTTGCCAGATATACCTTCTAATATTGCATCTGTTCCCAAATATTGTATAGAAGACATAGTGTGTGTATTTTTTGATGTTTGCTTTAAAAAAAAAAACGTAGTATTAGTTATGCGTACATGTTTGGCAACAGCGCATGCTCGGGTCTGTGATTCAAAATGAACGCGTAGAAGGCGGTGTGCATTTTGCTCCGGTGTTTCGATTTACATAGAATTTCACCTGTTTTATTTCGAATAAAGTAATACAAGTCGATCGATATTTCTACCGATATCGTGCTTGAGTTGTGTGAAGCGGGACGAAATTTATTTCCGGACAATTTCGTTATCATGGTGAAAAAGTTGTCCTACCTTGTGTTACTATATGAATTGTCGTCGAACGTATCGGCGATTGACTAAGCATATCGACCTTATTTTAGGTCCTTTTTATTATCTAAGAACGTTGCGAGCGCCTGTGACAACAACCAACAAAGTTTAAATACATAAACGATAGTATAATAATATGCTGCCTATAGGTGGTAAGTAGTTTGTAAACACACCCACATTTCAAGGACGAATGGTCTGCCAATCAGAGATATGTCAGAGACATGATATAATTCATCGCGGAGGGATTTTATATTCCACAAGGGTCATAGTAGCCCAATAATCAATCATAATCTAATCATGCCTCCATTTTGAAATTAAATATGCTAAAAAAGTTCGCGAATATTCTTTACGCAATGCAATAAATGTAGTTCACGTGTGCGTTTTCCTATCGGAATATTTGGTCATGAATAACCTTACGCATAATCATAAACTTATAAATATTCATGATCTAAACCGAACGCTTGAATGAAACTAACCAAAACACCAATGACCGATATCAAGTACCCGATAGCTCAATGATCAGTGTTTTTTGGTGTGTTTTGTTTCAATAAAATAAAATATTATTATAGTATTATAAATAGAGAAAGCCTGGTTACCGCAATTTATCTTGTTCTTCACATATTAAGTTCATGTAAGAAAAAATAATTTTATGATGTTAGCTGATTTTTGATAAAATCAGCTGAGGTGCTGAAATTTTCAATTTCAAGAGGTCTTTTTTAGCGAGGGCCCCAAGAATACAACAGATGGGCAACGATAGGAAGGTACGATAACACGCAAAGGCTCATGGTAGACGATTGTTTGTAAACAACGACATGGTATGGTCGTGTGCCGCATGCGCAGATAACGAATCCCTTATTTTGGTATAATTATGTATGTAATGATTTGGGATGTTACCTATTTATTTTTTTTAAAAAAAGCATCCAAAACTC